ATTTCGTTGCAACGAAACTTAAACCCTAACGATTTCATCCCTTCGACTCAGGAAACGAGAAAGATCGGAATTTTCATTCAAAATTCCAAATTAGCGAGGTACACGCGAAGAAAGGGTGGAGAAGAACGCGAGAACAATCAACAAAAACCATCCGCGTGAGGGCGAAAATAAAAAGGAGGATAACGACGATCTCGTTATCACTTTCATCCGCTTAAGATTCGGGACTCGTAACACGAGGATATCGTTAACCTCGTATTTCGATCGGACGCAACAATTCTCGTATAAATATCCAGCATTTGGCACGATTCCGAAATATTTCGAGACTCGTCTCTTTGCATCGGCTCTCGGTTCATCGAGACGACGGGAACACGAACGAAGAAGGGGAAGAAAAAGAAGGAGGAATGTTTTGTCTAGACAGTGCGAAATTGAGAACGGGAAAAGAGCAGGGCAAACGTCGACACAGCCGTCGTTGGCAAGTGTCCGCGTGCTTCGACGTCGTCGTTATATATGAACGTAGAACTGGCACTTTCTCTTCCGCGAGCCTGCCTACACGATTCTCTGCTTTAGCATGAACAGTCTATCCGTGTTGCGAATATCAGCTGTTCCCGATGACATTAATGACCGGAGAAGAGCAGCGTCGACCGCCTTTGAAAGCTGAATAAGCGACATCGTCGTCGCCAAACAAGCTAGCGTAATCTAGCAAATTAAAGAGGTATCGTTAAGAAAAATTGTTCGAATCGTGTATTATTCCGATTAATCTTTCTTACTTTGAAATATCAAATTTTAGCTTTTTGGGTCATATCAGAGAGTTATTGTAACTTTTTAAAATAATTTATGGATTAGTTTGGTACTATATTGTCGTTCATTGAATAGTTAATTTAGATATGAAATCTATGCCAAATTTAATTTTAATCAGGGCAATAATTGAATTTGAATCAATGCTAAATGATCGTTACACGCGCATGACAAAATGAACTTGTAAAATAAATTTCTTTTTCCTTAATATGATTGATAACAAGAATTAGCAAGTAAAAAATTTAATAAGTCTCATTAATCTATCAAATTTAAACTGTGATTCTTGAGTTCCGTTGAAACCAATCACTTGAAAAGTTAAACTAACCTAATCATATATTTCCTCCTAAAATTAAGAATCTTCGAGAGAGAGAAGTTAATTAGGTTTGGTTCTTGTAAGTTGGCCATATGTTTAAACCAGGCATTAACTTGTTCGCACGTCAAAGAAGCGGATAAACGAGATTCTATCATATGTCAAGTGGGGAGTAAATCGAGGGATTTTCTGGATATTCAGAAAACTGGTAATCGACGAAGTACCGTTAACTCCGCTATTTTAACGGAACGAGTTTAATAAATGAAAGCATAAGAAGATTCCACGCGATAAATCATCGTTACACGACAGGATTTATACGTATGCACCACGGTGTGCAAGAAGGGTGTTCATAAATTCCAAGTAGAAGTCAAAGGGAAGGAAAGAGAAGCAAACAGAGAAAGAAAGAGAGAGAGAGAGAAGAGAGAAGTTTGCCAATTAGAATAATATGAAAACCGCTTGGTTCGCGGATTTACATGAATCGTCTATTCGCACTACCGGTATCAACTCTCGCTCGTGACAAATGACCAGAATGGAATAATGCCAACTTTGCGCAGCGCGATTAAGATTGTCGAGCACACTGAGATCCTGAATAATCGGTGATATACATTATGCATGGATAAACGAATGGAAAAACGTGAATTTTTCTCGTATTGGACGAGACACTATCTAAATAAACAAATCTTGATTCTTTTTACCTCTCCCCGTGTCCGATTAAAAAACTCTTTCTCTGGTCGATTAAGAAAATCGTGACCGTAAATTATAAACGATCACACACTCTCTTGTATTCTTGTAACGCGTCTATTATTTTTTTTTTTTATACAGATAAAACAATTCGATGACTCGTCACGTCGAGGTTTTATCAATTGTAAAACTATTGTCGATTCAACAAATTTCTTTACTTTATAAATATTTATAACGCGAGGTAAGATGTGGATCGGGATATACACGTTATAATTGACATAATTCGCGATGGAACAACGTGCATTGAAAAATGTTCAATGTAGAGAACGGCATGGAACTCCATATTTCAACCTCGAGTAGATTTATATACACACATCTGTGTAAGAGATTTCTTAGACAATATATCATTACTTTCTCTTTTCGCTAGGGGTCCAAAGAAATGTATATATTTCCATAAATACGTTTTTTTTTTTCTTTTTTTAAACTTTCTCCCGTCGAAGAGGTTTTGTAAATGTTTGATGAAAGTTCATGGATCACGCAAAAGGTTACTGTACATATTTCTTTAACAAACATGACATACTTTACTCATCCCAATGCATGTCTCGTGTTTGCATCCACTGACATGTTCTTTTCTTACGGTAGTAGTCAAGAAACAGTAAACGCGACTGAATGGAAAAAGAATTTTGTCTAGGAGTCTAAAACATATTTGCGAATGTATTATTTGCGTGTAACGATAAAATAGTAGCTATCAAAAGTATACAGATTGAAAGATACGTCAATAAATAACTGTTCGTTTTAAATTAATTCAAAATTATGCTTTGTGTGAATAAGTTTACTTATAAATTAAAGATAAATTACTTATTTGTACAAAGCTTTGTTTCTATTAATTTTCAAACATGTTTTGCATGTTATTACTTCTTACAAATAGCATAAAATAGTTAAAAATTTGAGAAATATTATTTATTATTAATATATTTATATAAGAAATTAAATTAATAAAGATTTTAAATTTGTTTATTAACTCTAATCTTCAGTTTGCTATACGCATATCACATGTTAACCTCATTTTTTAAAATAAAATTTATATTAATGTTTAATTTCTAATAAAAAAAAAACAGATATTAAAAAACAAAAAAAAGAACTTCTATAAAAGATATTAATTAAATGTCAATTTACATTAAACAGACCTTGTTAAATTTCAATAAATAGCTAATTGAAACAAAAAGCGCGCATCGATCTTCGGATCATTTAAATCATTACAAAACAAAAAAATAATTCATTTATTATGAACAATAGACACTGTTCTAAGTAATAAACGTCATAGTAGCGATCGATTTACATTTGCTGTAAGCAATTATAGAGGCCACTGGACTTTCATTGCATTATAATAAAAGATATTGAATAAAAATCAAGCTTTATTAGTAAGTATTTATCGACGAAAATAGTATATCATGGGAATAGTGTAACATATGATCATTAAAAATATTCCAATATGATGAAAAACTACAATATATTCCAAAATGAATTTGAAAATTTAATACTAATATTAATTTGGTAATAATATTTCTGAATAAACTAAAATATAAACCATATCGCTCATTTGCTATGATAAAAAATATAATATATAACTTTAAAAAAAATGAATTTGAATTTGTTATTAATTCTTATAAAGATGTAGAATAATATCACATCCAAATTTCAGATTAAACGCTTTACTATAAATATATTTCAATTATTATAGAATATTACTAATTTAAAACCTAATCTAAAATTACAAATGTAAATGAATGCAAGAATTCAATTTACAAGAAAACACTACTATAAATCTCATCACAAATCTCATTATATGACATTTATTTAGATTTAAATGTAACTTATGTTTGTGAACAGCAAGGGTTAGCCTGTAAATCACAAATATCGCTCCTAAACGCTATCGACACATACATCGACACATATATTTATCTATAACATGAATTCAATACTACCGAAAATATTTTAAAAATTTATTATAATCTATAGAAACTATAATCTCTGAAATCGAATTATTATATCTATAAAAATATTTTGAATATTTTGATTTGATTTATATATATATTCCTAATTGCATTTATAATTTTCAAATGTACACGCTAAAGAATTTTCAAAAAAAAAACGCCATATGTATATTTAAAAAATAATAAAATTCGATAGTTATATTTGGAACATTTTCCTTTAGTCTCATACAGACCCAATATGACTACAAGCTTATCGTGGTCGACCACCACGCGTTGTTACGTTCAAGTCGTGGGGCCCCTCGGGCGAAAAGCTCGAAACCGGTTCTGAGCGTACAGAATGGCCGGGTAGCCGGTCAGCATGTATATACGATTGGCTACGACTTTCTAAACTTCCGTCGCACAGCTAAACGTACGCTTAAACCGTGTGCTTTATTTTTCATTTTTCTCTACCGATATGTCACGGTGAAAATGTCTGAAAAGAATTTACCTCGTTACGTCGAGCATTGACGCTACACGCGTGATTAATAATTTCGAAAATATTATACTATTACGACGCTTAATAATGGAGCGTGAAAGAAAATGAAACGAATGTAGAAATATAGAAAATTATAATAGAAAGAGACATTTTATTAGTTTATTTATTTTTATACGATATGGGGCAGAATTTCACTTCTTCGATTCTTAAAAATTTCAACCTGTTTGTTTACGTTTCTGATAACACTAGGCACAAATTCCAAGAAACAATGGAAGAACGAAAGAAAAACGAAACAGCTTTAAATGATGATATCATACTGTTTATGCGAACCTCGTCATTAGCATACTGCGAAATATTTAGAAATTAAATATTAAAAATTTTTATGTTCTAATATATATATATTATGGATATATTTGAAGATGCTGTTCATTTCGTATTTCGAAATAATATATGAAATGATAGAAAAGAAAAAACAATTGGAAGAAAAACGCCAATCGGAACGCGTAAATTTTCTAACGCGTAACATACGCTAGAGTCGACACATCACGGCATGTTGGCGTCGTCGCGGCACACGTGTATTTACTATTTATGACAAAGGATACAGCAGTTGTACGAGAATAAACCAACCGTTATTGCACTTCGTGCCAAACGCCATGCAACTTTTGCACGCTACTAGCATTCTTAATTGCACCGGACAACGGTTCGTATTCACGATACTTTTCGTTCTAAGCGATTAAACGTAAGTGTTTCGATCTGTGATAGAAGACCCTAACAAGGTGATAGAAGACCCTAACAAGGTGATAGAAGACCCTAACAAGGTCTTCTATCACCGGTCAACTTCGCATTAACGAATTATTTACATATTAACGATTCAATGATACTATTCAATGATACTAAGGAAAAAATAATACAAATGTCGCCAAAAATAACTAAGGAAATAAATAAATAAATATACTTTTACAAACTTACCAGAAATATAGTCTGGATCGGTGCGAAGCGTATTCGCCCAGTATCAACAACCCTCGATGTGAAGAAGTAAGTCACAAAAAAATCCCAATGGGTGTTTAGCAAAGAATCTTCGTAAAACCTACGCGAGAAGAACTAATATCTACGTCTTTTAACATAAACTAACGTTAAACACAGAAAAGTAACACTGAAAAACACCACCGAATTCACTGTCCTGCTTTATAGGACGTCCCACGTAACTACGGTTTCCCTTGTGATACCGCGTGGGCGCGAGTCGCGACACAAAATGAAAAAAAAGAAACAAATTTTGTCGGCACGTAAAAGCTTCGATAGCTATCACGAGAGGATAATACGTATAGGACGGAACGAAACAACACGCGCGCTGTTCGAGACGCAACTGCCGCCACTACCGACTCATAGTCCCGCTCTACCCCACTTCTTACCCCGCGATCCCCACCATCATCAACCATGTTCCCCACTCTACTGTCTTTTCTGACCATTCTTTGGTCCCTTCAACCTTCGACGATTCTTCGATACTTATACTGCACGCAATACATACTACGCTTGTCTCGATCAAAGACCCTTGACACTTGTTACGAACACATAGATACACATATATTCATACGTGCAAATGTTTAGCCGTGATTTATTTTCATTAAACGATTCATTTGAAACGAACATAGCGTTAAATTCGCGAAAAAAATTAAGCTTACATGAAAAATTTTTCTTTTTATATAGTTCTTAAGCACGCAATTCATATGTAACAATCATTGGTCTCTATAAAGATAATTATTTTTATAACAATCACTTATTCTCAATATAATATCAATCAAATTTTTGCTTATAAAAAGTTTTTTTATATAAATGAACAGTAATATACATATTTATGTTTTTAATATTTTTAATATTATACAACAATTATTATTAACTTTGCTTGTAACATTTTATATAAAGAAAAAAATTATTTTTAATATATGATACGTAATTTTAATGTTTTTGATTGTAATATGTTCTCTTTTTCTTAAAATAGCGGCAGAAAGTTAGACGCCTACATGCCATGCATACGACGCGTAAACGCTCTAATGGACACTACGACAGCGTGTGATATGGAATAAGTACAATTGTTCAGCAGACTGCGTGACGCTATACACCGTGGGCGTGGCAAAATCAAGTTGTTAATAAAGCAATCTATCATAATACAAAAAAGTGTATCGTTCTATATTCAAGATGTTATGATATAGAAATAATATCACAAGTAAACTATTTTTAATGATTTTCAAATCTCAATAAAATAATAAATATAAGATTCGATACGATAAGATCAATATATTATAAAATAAAACTCTAATAAAACTCTAAAATTCTTTTTATTTTAGATAAATATAAGAATATTTTCTTCAATAATTTTTATAAGCAACAAATAAATAATAAATCTGATAAAAAAAATATCAAATATAAAAGAATATTATTTAGCATTTTACATATTGTTATCTGAAATTTCTTTTTTTTTCAAATTATTAATATGAATATAAAATATATATTTTATAAAAATATTATTTCTGAAATATTAAATTTTTTTAGGAATAATGAAAAAGTCACATACAACACGAGCTTACACGAGCACCTACCTACATTGTAATTTCGCGTAGATTACATACGAAATGAAACCCAGAGCCACATGGAAGAAATCATTGGCGATGACAATTACGAATAGATTTTAATCCTCGTGACACGACGGTAGCAGAAAATTTTACCTCTTCTTTGAAGCAGTTTTGTAGGCTGCTTGAAGGTATAGTGCAGCCATTGGAGCTCAAGCTGCCGCGTAACCTGTTCTCATTTTTATCGTCAGCATCAGGTTTCAGCGCAGGTGAGCTGCGAAGGTGCTGAGCCAAGTCCAGCGAACCAGCTCATGGTTCTCGAGCATTTCCTTCTCCCTCGTCATAGAAACGCATTGACCTTCAGGACAAAATGCCGACGATCAATGCAAACGTTGCACCGTATTATCGTTATTTGAGAATATAATCAGAATTATACGATTGCCTAACAACTATTAAACTAATTACGACAGCGTTTTACCCTTCGTGAAATTTAAAGCCATGCTCAGGAACAGTCTGCTTCTCCAATCCAATAAAAAAAAAACTTGATGGATACTAAGAAAAAAGAAAAGAATTCCCAAATATATATAATTAATATTCTTAACTTAATTTAATAATTGAATGTCCAAACAAAAGAAATAATTTAAAAAGAAATTTTCAGCCTTTGATAATTCGTATATCATATATTTCTTTATTATATATTAAAAAGAAATTTTTATTTCAAGGAACTTGTTGTATTTCAGTACATTTGGGGAAAATTTTTAGCTTGACAAAGGACGTGCAATTGGATCGTATATAATTATTAATGGACAAAACACGCAGAAATGTTTTACTGTCATTTCTATAGGATTTTATTAACATTGTTACTTCAATAGCATTAATTACAGATACCAATTTGCAATGATCAATACTAACTAAAAGAGAAAAATGTTTTAAAAAAAAAGGAAATGAGATTACGAGTATATATATAATTTCGATTTTTAGAAAAGTATGACAATGAGCGGCTGCATTATTTAAATACAATTCTATCACTTTAACGAATGTAATGTATATGACGACCAATCGTTCAAACAAAAGGATAAAAATGATTCCTATGAGAAATGATTTATTCGATAAATGAATAACGTTAAAACAAGCTGTATTGAACAATGCGAGCTTGTGTATATGATTTACATACATAATAATTATATATTATTTTAGACTTCGCAAAGATTAATAAAGTATTTCGCAATGCAGTACGCTCAAGTCAAGTGCGATCGAAGTATAAAATCTTAAAACAACCCTAATCGGGTGCCCAGCAATGTGTTTCAGACTATGCATTCTACACAATCTCATAAGAAATAATGTTATTTCGGCTGGTATTATATCTTTATGCGCTAAATAAAACAATAATTTCATTATTTACTCCGAAATAAACGATACTCATCTTTCTTCTCTTTCTTCTCTTTCCTGTGTTATAATAATTTTGTAATGAACTACGTGTTATTTATTTATCAAACAACTAATCAACTAATTCACTTTGTGACTACATTTTGTGATACATATGACATATGACTAACGATCGATTCAAGGGATCTTGTAATCTCTATCATTGTTATCTCCTCCCTCCCATCTCTTTAACCTATCTTCTCCCGTAAGTACATTAGATACGACCGAACAGAACATCGAGTATATTATTTCTAATATTTCACTTACACGCTAATATGTACAGTTATGAATACCGCACCGTGATTCGCGTGATACCCAAAGAAAAAAAAAAAAGACCATTGAGTACCATTCTACCAGCACGATGCAATTATGAAAGACGAAAGTGCTGTTCAAAACCGGTCGATTGCTTGACGCGTATTGAGAGACAGAGTAGGACAATAAAAAATAGTAAAAGAAATGAGCGAGAGAAAGAGAGAAAGAGAGAAACACACGATGGAAAACGAGAATGAAAGTAGAAGAAAGAGGGGACACGTATGCGTTCGAAATATGCTGTACAAAAGTTATTTTTTATCCAGTTTTATATACGACCAAATCTATTTTTCGTCGAGCACCGATGATCATTTTGTTATTCTATATATGTATATGTTGTTTTTACTAAGTTTACTATAAAATTCGCTCTTTGAAATATTCGCCGTCTATAAAACTGGATATTTGTCAAACAACAGTATAAATTTTTTTTTTCACAAGTTACGAAATAGATATTAGAATTGCGATCGATACAGATCAATTTAATAGCGGCTACGTGAAAGCCAATGGAAGAGTAGTATCGGACTCTCTATCTCGATACTATAATGCATCATAATGTATTCTAAGAGATTAATATTAAAGGAAAGTGAATATAAAGATTGATAATTAGATAATAATTAATAAAATAACAATGCAAAATAAGTAACGAAAGTAATATTTGAAGATAACAACATAGATAACAACAATTAAGAATATCAAACTTATAGATAAAATAACGAAAATTATACATTATTCTTAATTATTTTGCAATAGTAATTCATTAATTTTTTTTTGTTTTAATTAAATTTTAAGAATTTTATATTCACTTTCCATTCATTCATACCATTACAATTACACATACATTTAATTTCAATTTATACTCATAATTTGAAAACATTCGTAGTAATTTATTATTTAAAAGATAACAGGGACGGGTAAAAATTTTCAAGAAAATTCAAAATTAAAAAAAAAATTTCTACAGAAATACATACATGTACTAGCGCCGATTCATTCCATTGGCTCCGTACAGTCACGTTGTCGCATACATTATACATACACTAATGAAGAAAAAATTATTTAATTGTACTGTATTTACATTATCGAGATATAAAAATACTAACAAGAAACATACCTATAGACAAGATCCTCCAAACGATTCATCTCTTTAGAAATAAACTAATTCATAATCAAGTTTGGCAGTAATATTGTCCCTATCTAGTTGCATTCTTATTGTTATCTCATCATCTCATTCATTTTCAGTAAAACGTAACGTCTTTTATGACGTCTCACACTTACACGATTTCTTAACGCTATCCATTAATTTTTAATCTCTATTCTAAATTCTTTGCTATCTTGGAAGATTTCCATTGCTCACTGCACAGGCCTCTGCTGTGGGTCAATATAAAAACAAATGTTTTCGTTATCGATACAGCTATCATATACACTGGTCACAGTGACAGCGATTTATTTATAAAAACATGCGATTTCACATTACATTTGTTTCACCGCTGAACCTAATTTATAAAATTGAGTCATAAAAGGAAACACTGAATGCCAAATATACATCTCATTCACTAATAAATCTACTAATTGCTGCTTATTTTTTTTTAGAAAAATTTTAGAAAAATAAGTTTAAATGCATAATGAAATAATAAATGATGATGAACAAATTCTTAATTAATCAATAATATAAAATTATAATAATCATAATATAAAATTATATTGAAATTTTTAAATTAAGAAATAGGTTCAGCGAAGAATTCTCATACCATATACTTGCTACAGGCAAGTATAATACCACTCGTGGTAGCAGAAAGTATTTCAATGTAAGCCATTCGACTCCCTAATCTTAAGGAAGATAATAATAAAAATAATAATAATAATACTCGACATATTTGTCGTAACAACGTTCCACAGCATATGCTATAAAAACGGCTTACAACATACACACGCATGCACCAGTATGTGTGCGCATGTGTAATAAGAATATTTAATATGCACAGATATATTATTTCATATCTCTAGAAATATAATAAATTTTATGTATGTATTATATGTGTATTTATGTGCACAGTCTCACTAGCACTGTTACAGCCCGAATAAGTGTCGTGCGTATAAATCTATGATTTCTTTAAAGTTATGTGGAAGAATAATGGAGCGACAACTTGTGGGATTCATGTTATTTAGTTAACACTTTGCCTCTAAAGTTGCTTTGTTAAATTTTATCAGAATGTTCTATATATAGTTTTCTTTTTAATTTTTGAATAAACATTTCCTGAGCATTCAACTGACGATGTTGGAAGTCCAGTTTTGTCCAGAAATTCTACTAGATGAATAACTCAAGACTGCTTCATTTGTTGACAATGTTGCACAACTCACCGACGCTTCTGCTTCGAGGCGTATATCGTGATTTTTTAAATTGTTGTATATTTGAAAATAAATTAGTCTGCATTGATGTCCTTTCTGAAGACTTTGAACTAATATCCGTTTGTACGTCTATATGCGACGGACTCTTCGAACGTACAGCGTGATGAGGACTTTCACGATTTATAGTAAATCGGGACAATAAACTGGAATCATTGGATAAAATTTTTGAACTTGCAGCCAATCTACAAGCGCAAGGAGAACACTTTGGTAAATTTATCATAATTTTATCCGGTTCGATTGTCAAAGATGATCGACCAAATTTTCTTAAAGGACTGCAAAGAATTTTTTTAGCTTTCAATTTTTTCTCTATAGAATCATTTTTTCCTTTATCCTTACATGTTTTTTCAAAACTCTTACTTGCAAATTTACTGTTCTTATTACCCCATGAAAACTTTTTTGAAGATTCTACTGATTTTTCATGATGGATCTGTGTATCATGTTCTTCAGACTTCTTATCTTTTATAGTTGTATCTTTATTTAGAATTTTATTACTGCAATATTTCTTATTATTTTTAGTACATTCTGAATCCAACACAGATTCTATACTGCTATATTTGAACTGATTTATAGGAGATTTTTTCTCTGATTTGAACTGACTTTGACTATTTTTACAATCTGAAATACTTTTATTATTATCATTAGATATATTGGAATATGATGACAATGACTTTTCTTCAATAGTATATTGTCGGCAGTCTTCAACCTGTATGTCAACTAAAGTTGTATGGGATATTTGTATATCAGCTTTCTTATGGCTTTGACCAAATGAATTTTTTAAAGTTCTATGGACAATATTCTTTTGACTTTTAGTAAATGGGTTTTTTATATTTTTTGGCAAAGAAATATGTTTTTTTGCAACTTGACTAATATGATTTAATCGAAAGTTATGGCGAATAGAAGTACCTTCTAATATTGTTTTATTATGTTTCTTATCTTGAATATTTGTTATCAATTCTTCTTCTTTCATATTTTTGTCATCTTGTTGAATAGCTTTTTTTGAATTACTATCTAAACTTGAGTCATCATCCTCAGAACATGTTTCCTTTAAAGAATTTTTATGATGAATTTTCTGATTAATATCCACCTGTTGATCACGAAAGAAAAATCCATCATCTATAGAAACGAAAGATGATTCTTCATCACAGGGGAGGACAGGTGCCTTCTCCCCTGTGGAAGGCGATTGCTAGACAAGCTTTTCAGTCTGTGAGCTTGTTGAAATAGAACTGGTAGTGTTTGAATTATTAGAAGTGGTGTGTCCTTGACTGCTCACATGTGTATGTCCTCCTCCCTGCCCCCCCTGATTCTGGGAGAGGCTTAGTCGCCGTCAGTTTATCAGTTCTACACTTACAAATTGCTTCAATCGTTCTAAATATTGATCATACAATTCTACATCATTATGACCAGCACCCTGAAAATATAAATATAATATTTATATAATTTTTTTCTTTAGTATTTAAAAGAAAAAAGATGAAAAATCTTATATACCTCAACCCATAATGGTTCTACTGCTCTTGGACATCTCTCATAAATTGCTAAACCATGATTGAAATTTATTACATCATCTTCAGTTCCATGAATTACCAAAACAGGAGATGTCACTTTTGGTACTTTATCTATACTGTAAAAAAAGAAAATTTCAATGATTCATTATATTTTGTATGTATCATCATGAAGTTTTACATAAATATAAAATATATAATATATTAACAATATAATAAGTAAACCAAGTACAATATCAAATTTATTTTATTGTATATTTTACCTTTAGTTACTTAATATATATTACAAAAAAATGTAAAAATAATAAATAGTTAATTATTATTATTTTTAAATTAATTTAATTAAATAAAAATAAGAGATAGATTGCAAATAAGCGACAGTAAAAGTGCAAAACCTATTAGCGAACTATATGTCAACGGATCATGTAATTTATAGGTTTCCATGACACATATATATAGATAAACTTTTATTGCTTCCCATATTTTAATTCCGAAAAACTATCACTCAACCATGGAAAAAATATAATTTAAGTTTCCATAAAAGTATCAATAAAGTATTTAATTTATTTTACATTTAGTTTAAATTTTAAATATAGAATTTTCTTTTAAATACTTGTGTGTATGTGTTTGTATATGTATACATTTATATCTGTACCACGTGTATGGATGTACACCTGAACTGGATGATAGTGTCATGCGCGTAAAGTTAGCTGTGCGAATCACAGCATGCGATAAGCGGATTATAGATCGCGTTTCATTTAACACAATAAAGGGAGATACACGTATTTCAAAGTTTAACCTACCTCGGGAACGCATCAAAGAACCAAGTTCTTTTGGTATTAGGAAAAGCAACTCGCATTCCCGACATTAAAGGTGAATGCAGAACAACTGCGCCAACCTCATATCGCGCGGCCAGATCGACTGTGGGTACAGTCCCGATACTTTGACCATATAGAATGATGTTTTCTGGGCTAATACCGTAACGTGTTCTAAGAGCATGCCACGCAGCATCTATATCCGCATAAAGATTCTTTTCTGACGGTTTACCACCAGAAACTCCATAACCCGAATAATCATAACTAAATATGTTACAATTTATTCTCGATCCAAGTCCTAAATAAAAACTAGACATCTGTCCCAGATCGACTGCATTTCCATGGGAATATAAAATCGTAAAACGTGCAGTAGCTGAACACCGTACAAATAAACAGGCTATTCGATTTCCTCGTGATGTTCTTGCATAGAAACCTTCTACCGACTCTTTCTCCCTTTCTGTATACTGCCATTCTGCTCTTTCAGATAAAGAAATTGTAACTTTGGAACCTTCATCTTCAATAAATGCATACGTAGGTTCAGGAGGTAGAAACGCTAGTTTTGCAGCGATTCTGGACGGGCAAGGCGGACAGCAAAACAAGCAACACAATTCACTAAAACTTAACCCGTTCATCGTTCCACGGGGAAGTTACGCGCACGCGAAAACGCCGTTTATCACGTTTCTTCGTGGAATTTCCACATCGAGATTATCGCTTTGATTCAAAAATAATTCCATGCACTGTACTTCTTACACTTAATGATTCAATCACAATGTCATTTGTTATCGTACTCTTGAAAGAGTCACTCACGATGAATCAGCCATGACGGCTTTCAAGACGAACAATTTCTCTCCCTCTTGTTTTCTCTCTTTCTCATATAATGCCCCCACCCACTGAACGTTGCGCACTTTCATTGTATTCAGGTAAAACGAGATACATACTCACAAGATAAGGATAGAGATAATGGCACTACTTTGTACGTTGTTCTTCTATTCATTGCTTGCTATTGGTGAAAGATTTAAAAGCAACGAGATGATTCGATATGTAACGAAGAATGGTCGCGTATTCAAACACCGTTAACTTATATTACCAACCTTCCAAATAATAATGCAAAACATATTATCGGAACATAAGTATGCGCCTTGCGATGCAAATACATCTAGTGATTTTTCTGAAAGAAAGCTACGAGGTTAGCAATAGCAACCTTTCGTGGAAAATCGATTAAATCCAGGTATATGGTAGAAACTCGACTAGTTTCATGTTGTTGCGTGATCGTTGTCGTTCGCTATACAGTTTTAGCCGATGGCGGCTGTCAACTGGTATAGTTCTGATTTTCGTCGAATAAATTTTTATAAATCGTTAAATAATTTTGAAAATTTTTATTCGTAAATAATCATTACGCCTTTATATTGAATTGATTTTTCTATGAGACTGTGAAATTAGCATTTACAACATTTGTATGACATCGGGCAAAGAAACAATGGGGTAAGTGAACGTGGTGGTATTCTGCACCGCCTTTTAAGGGTGTGTAATATATGTACACACAAAGTATGATTTTCATATAAATACGATAAACTGTCCTTAATTTTTTTATTACGAATATCATCAATTGATATAAAATAGGTCGGTTTCATTATGTTAGCTAATGAATAGTGCTATCCTTTCTTGTCTATTTACTATCATATTCTCGACTTCATCGCAGTTACGCATTTAGATGGGTGCGTACATAAGAAGACTCTGGACCACAATGTTTTTCTTTTTTTTATTTATATATAACCGTGAAATAAAATAGCGAAAGTGGGATAAATCGACACCGCGTGAAATGTGTTTATTCTAGTTGTTTACTCGTGCATTATTTGATATATTTTTAAATTCAAATTATGAAAGTCAATTCTGTCAATTATAGAAATATTTATCACACTAATATTTATTTTACTGTATTTTAATATGATTAATTATAGTAAATTTCGTCTTTTTTAATTTTGGTAAAAATAAAAAATTTTATATAAAATATTATTTCTTTTTAAATTAATTTTATAAATACTTTATTAATATTTTATTAAATACTTTGTTAAATGTTAATTATTTTTGTTGTAGTTATTTTTTCATATGAAATAAATTTATTAAAATTGTTTATTTTAAACAATGTATATAAATTGTATATATATTGCATGTGTGAAAAATTAAAATATCTAAATAAAAATATAATTGTTTTTTATAAAAAATATAACTGAAAGATGCTTGTTCATATTTATTTTATTTGATTTTCTCCAAATTTATACAATCTGTATTATTATAATGTTAAATTGTAACATTATTAGATTTCCAAATTTATATAACATAATCCATATTATTATAATGTTAAATTGTAACATTATTAGATTCTCATTCCATTAATTTTAAGGCATGTAAAATAATATGTATATTTGACATTTTTTAATGTACTTAATTTTGTTATGTTTCTGTGAAATATACATGTAATAAAATATGTTTTACCAAAAAAATAAACTTCAAGATATTGATATATATTCGTTATTATTAAAACACCTATAATTTTTATTTTGAATATAAGATATAAATAGATGCTGCATGTATAAATTAAATCAATATATTTAAGTACCTAAGTTTCTTGCTTTTAATAAATTGCAGCGAACAACCAATTTTCACATGTAAAGCACACGTGTTTCATATTGATCCTAAGACAAAAAGATCTTGGGTATCAGCATCTACAGCAGCAGTCTCTATTTCATTTTTTTATGACTCAACAAGGAGTCTATACAGAATAATTTCTGTTGAAGGAACAAAGGTAATTAAAAAATAACTTATAAAAAAATAAATTTATAATCTATTTAAAAATTATTTAATTCTATTCTTTTTTTCTTTTTTTAGGCAGTAATAAATAGCACTATTACTCCAAATATGACCTTTACAAAAACATCACAGAAATTTGGACAATGGTCAGATGTTAGAGCTAATACTATATATGGTCTTGGTTTTTCATCTGAAGTAGAATTAGGAAAGGTTTGTGAAATGTATTTTAATTTAATGTAGTAATTTTATATTATATTATATCATAAAAATATTTTAATAATATTTTTAGAAATTATTTAATTAAAATTTATTATATTATATTTTTACATAATTATTATATTATGTTTTTACATAAATTAACTACTGCTATTAAAGACAATATTATTCATTTGGCAGTTTATAGAGAAATTTCAAGAAGTGAAGGAGGCCACTAAATTAGCTAGTGCTAAATTACAATCAAACAGTTCATCTGTTACACCTGCTACTAGTGCAAATGTTAGCCCAATTACATCACGATCGGGTATGCCATCATCAGAACAAGATCTTATAGACCCACCAAATTCATCGATGATTAATTCCAATGTGTCAGCATCAAATAATCCCAACCCAAATGCCAACGTGATTTCTACACAAAATAGTGTATCTTTGGTAAGCAGCAGTCCCTTACCTGGTAGTTGTCAAAATAAAGTGGATGATGAATTGAAAAATACAGTCCATTCAAGATCACAGAGTGTTTCTCAGCAGAGTACAGAAAGTCCACAACATCAAGGGAAATCAGCACAACTTACAACACAAGGGGGACAATCAGCTGAAATGCAACTTAAGTATGAAAATGATAGGCTGAAACTTGCATTAGCACAAAGTTCTGCAAATGCTAAAAAATGGGAGGTATGGTTTTATATATATTAAAATAAATATAAATATTCACAAATTAATCATTATATATAATTATATTATATATAATATAATTCATTATAAAAAATTTGATAGGTTGAATTAACTACATTAAAAACAAATAATGCTAGATTAACAAGTGCATTACAAGAATCCACAGCTAATGTTGATGAATGGAAAAGACAGCTACAATTATATAAAGAAGACAATGCAAGGATCAAGGCCAAATATGCAGATCTAGAAGCTGGAAAAATAGCAGAAGGCAATAGTGAAGCATTAAGGTTGAGAGTTGAAGCATTAGAAAGTGAACTTAGAACAAAAAATGAAGAAATCAAAGCTCTTACTATAGCTACAAAAAATAAAGATTTTGTAGTATGTATATAATATAAGATATAATATTATTAAATATTAATAATTATTCATATGATTTTATGAAAATTGATATGAAATATTATTATTTTATAAATAAGATTTATTATATTAATTGTTATTTCTTCAAAATGATTTTTATTTAAAAATATATAATATAATTCAATAATTTCAATAATAATGAGGAGAAGTACTTAAAAAATACTATTTTAGTGAAATATCTAATTATATACTCAAATAATCTATAATTTTATTTTTTAGGCCTTACAGAAAGAAAATCAAGAACTTCGTGAAATGTTAAGGGTTGTCCATGAACAATTAGAACTTGCATTAAGCGCAAATAAAGTCCAAAAACAAAATTTGGATACATTAAATGCCAGATTAGCTGGATACATACAAGATTTGGTAACTGTACATCGAGAAATTACAAATACATTGCAATCTTAAGTTTACATGTAGTGATGTTTAAGAATATTCTTCATGGGAGTTTTGTATTTATGATATAAGCAAAATATACAAATGGACGGTGTAGATTAATACAAAGGGAAAGGTTCCAAAAAAAATATGCATAGTAAACAGAAATCTCAAAAAATAAACTTAGAATATTATCTATCTTTAAATGATAAAGATAGATTACATCTTTTTAAAATATTTATTGTGTATTAAGTTAATAATAATATTTGATGTTTTTCTTCATAACTCTTCGTGCCATATTCTTATTGTATATAAAAATATGTTCATTTTTAAACATGACATACTTTTTTTTTTAATATACATATTTACATATAACAAAAAATAAATGTAATATTTTTATTTTTGCAGAGATGAAAATATAAATCTTATTTAGATATTCTTATCTTTTTATATTATATTGTATCATAAAAATATTTTAAAATTATTTTTAGAGGTTATTTAATTAAAATTTATTATATTGTTTTTACATAAATTAACTATTGCAATCAATTTTATTAATTTTTTTTTAAATTTATATTTCTACACAAAACATAAATCTTATTTAGATATTATATAGATTATAACATATTGTATTATAAAAATATTTGGAAATTATTTTTACAGGTTATTTAATTAAAATTTATTGTATTATGTTTTTACATAAAATTTTATAATCAATTTTTATTAATTGCGAAGATTAGATTTACGTATATATAAGTAGTTCATTTTTTCTGATAATTTTGTTTTAATGTTTGAAAAATAAATTATAATTACAATTATAATATATACCATCGTCACTAATACTATTATTTCACTGATTTCTGTCAATCTTTGATTCTATTACTATTAAGCTATAACTTTTACGATATTTTTACAATTATTAAAATTATCAATGCTATTATAACTACCTCCACTGCTATTGCTACATTACTAATTGCTGTTATTATTGCTTATAGTATTATCGTTAGTGCTACTTCTATAATTGTTATTACTGTTACTGTCAATCATGTTATCATTACATGCCTACAAAAAACTTTTATGATATTTAAAAACATAAAACATATCAAAAATGTCACGAGATTTAATGTGATATATGTTTCTCGATGTTTTTTGGAACTTAGCCCCTTGAAGACAACAAAAAATAAAATTCAGTTACCCATGAACACAACTAAGAAAACTGCACAATTAACATTAGTAACGTTTAGCGATATTCAATTATGTAGTATAACTATTTAATTCAGCTGTACATTGTATCCATATTGTTCTAGCACATATTATTTACCTTTATTAATAGAATAAAAAATATATAAAATTGAAGAGTCTGGCATGAGTTGTACAGAACCATTGATATCTAATATAAAGTATGACATGAAAAAATATATTATAGAACCCATTTACAATGGGTAACTTAGTAATTTAAATACAAAACTTTACCAGATGTTTTAAGAATGAAAAAAGATGTTTTTAATGTGCGAAATATTTTATTAATTTTTTTTTGAAAACCATGATCGTTATTAATTTATTGTTAAAAAAAATAAATGAAATTTTTTCTAACGTAAATGATTTATTATTCATTTATTACTAGTTTTTTAAATAATCTCTAGCAATCAAGCCAGATATTCTTCAATATGTTGTTTAAATACATAGTATAGATTCATTAGGAAACAAAATTTGCCGAAGAATGCTGATCGATCGTCATAAAGATATTGAGGTGATATTTCTTGTAACAATAATTTTTAGTAGTAAATAAAGTGCAAAATACTAAACAAAGCACTTTTTATTGTACTGACAGTATGTATGTATGTACGTAAAATTGTTATGGAAATGAATTTTAAATTGGAGGAATTGGAAACAAAAGCCTCGCTTGCCACATGTAATCTTAATAAAACATTTTCAGATGGCTTTCTTGTGTTCTATTATCATATTCATATTTTCATATATCAATATTATATGATAAATTTGATTTAACAATTGTTATGAATACCTTTTTATAATATAAATTTTTGTTACATATATATATATATATATATTCATAATTGAAAACTAAAATTATGGAAATATGATAAAAAATTTATTTTTTCATTAAATTTTTTTCAAAAATTTATTTTGCTTCATTATTTTATATATTAAAAGAAAAATGTAACAATTATAAATGATACTAATTTTTCACTTTACAACATTCAAGTTACATTTTATGTATGTTTATAATAGGAATCTTTTAGAAAATCTCATATATAAAATTGAATTATATTCTTACATTATGTAATAATTAATGTAATAATTAAATTATGTTTATATAACATAAGATATGTAAACATATTCATAATAGATTAAAAATTAATATAATTCTAATATGAGTGATATTTGATTGAGTTAAAAGAAATTATTCAAGTAATAATACAAAATAAATAAAAAAAAAATTAATAATAGAGTATATTTATATCATGATTCAAATATTAATATTTTATTTTATTTTAAAATAATATTTTATCCAATTTTTTATCCAACAAAATCAGTTGTTACTATTTACCTCTTATTTTTTATTTTAATTATATGGATTATATAATAAAATAATTTTATATTTTATATAGTTTTTGTATTTTTTATTTTTTTTATTATTTATTTATTTTATTTACATATATTAAAATTTTTAAGTAATTATTATTATTATTATTATTATTAAGTTATTATTTGTTTTATTCTTTGAAAGTAATAAAATAACCTAATTAAATTAAATACATAAATTTTCATTAGTTTTAGATTTTTTTATAATTAACATTCATAAATATAATATATTGTGACAAATTTTTTTAAAATAAATATTTTTTTATTATGTACATATAGTTGAATTAAATTTTACTAAATTTTACTAAATTTATTTTCATTTAATTAAAAAGAAAGCTAGTATCATAAAATTTTTTATTATTATGTTTTAAATATTTAAAATAAAGTTTAATGCATTACAGAAATTTGTTATAATAAATATAAAAGAATATGTAAATAATAAAAATTAATTAAATTTTATAAAAAATAAAAAAGACATTAAAAATATTTGACTTTTTATATAAAATATAATGAATTTTAATAATGACAAACAATTCATAAACTTTTCTTAATTATAAAACAAACAATAACAATTGATTAATTTGTTCATATTAGTACTTACTAAAAAATTGTTTATTGTTATTATACTTTAATTTTATTCATTTAATATAATATAATATTTAATATAAAAATATATATTCATTAAAATATCTTTATGATAAAATTTTTTATATTGTTTCTTTGTTATTATAATAATAATAATTTCGAGATTATTAAATAAATTATACAAAATAAAGTAAAATAAAGTAAAATATTATTCAATATATTATTATTATTCACTTATTCAATATAATTATTATTACAATTAAAATAATTAAATAATATGTAATTGATATATTATTTAAAATAATTATTTATTTTTCTAAATATATTTTAAAATTACTTTTGAAAAATAATTTAAATTGTTTATATTTTATTCTATTTAAACTTTTTTTGATTTGCTATTGACTTAATTTGAAAAATATATAGCAGATTCTCCCGCCTTTTTAAGCATGTATAATGCACTGAACTACCTATAGTTTATCATAAGATACATGTTCTGCATCAATAACGTAAAATAAGAACATAACAGTGTAGAAAAATTTTATATTTCCAAATATTAGAAGATGAAACAGCTATATATTGATTGACATTTGCGATTATAAAGTTATAGTGAATTCTATTAAATATATTTACTATTTCGAAACGCAAAAAGTGATCGAAATATTGTGTAAGAATTAAAGTTGTAAAATCGTTGCCAAGTTTACAAGTTTATTCATTTAGTGGAAAATTTTGTGTCTTGTTATTTATAATTTATTTGTAAAACAAATAGGTAATGAATTTATATATTAAGAGTTTATGAATACCTATACGTAAACGTATAAAAAAAAAAATTATAAAACTAAGAACTCTTCTATTTAAAGCAATAATTATATTATTATTTACTATGTATTTACTATATTATATTTAAAAAAAACTGTATATTTAATTAGTTACATTTCTGATCATCTATTTTTGAAGCACACATATATATATATATGTGTATATATATATATATATATATATATATATACATATATTTATATGTATAATATGATCAAATTTATAATTGTATAAATTCCGGCATAACCTTTTAATTTATTTTTGCTTCCTGCATTTGTTTAAATAGCTACCTTCTCTGATCAAATTCTATTAGTTTTATATTGCAAATAATTTTTAAATAAATGTTGCAGATAAAAAATGGTAGTGCTTAGTAATTTTCTTGCACCACAAGAAGGAATACGTCATGAAGAGCAAAATACTACCGTGTACATTAATGATAGAGAAGTAGGAAAGGGAACTCTGTATATTACAGAAAGGTAAAAATTAAAATAAAGCAAAGTTTTACATTTAATTATATTGTACCCATATTTTAATATAATTTTCATATTGATAGCTTACTTTCTTGGGTGAATTATGATACACAACAAGGATTTTCACTAGAATATCCTCATATATCATTACATGCCATATCACGAGATGAACAAGTACATCCAAGACAATGTTTATATATTATGGTTGATGCAAAAGTTGATCTTCCAGGTATATAAGATTATTTAATTATTTTTCAAAATGTAAAAATAAATATAATTTAGTATATGACAATATATGACAATAAAAATTAAGTTTTTATTAAAAATATTAAAATCATATCTCATCTTTACAATAATTTAACATAATACTTTACATAGATGTATCATTATCACCAGCTTCTGATAGTGGTTCAGAAAATGAATTTGAAGATGCGGATACACCTATTACGGAAATGCGGTTTGCTCCTGACAACACAAATAATTTAGAGGCAATGTTTCAAGCAATGAATCAATGCCAAGCACTTCATCCTGATCCACAAGATAGTTTCTCTGATGGTAAATAAACTTATTATTACAATATTTTATCAACAATTTAATTTAATTTATATTTTATGAGATCTTATAGCTGAATCTATATCTTTATAGCTGAAGAAGATATTTATGAAGATGCAGAGGAAGATGATTTTGAACATTATGATGTTGGTGCTGGTGATGCTCCCTACATTTTACCAACAGGTAAAATTTAAAAATTTATAATTATCTTTACATTAATTCAATAAATTTAATGTTAAAATATATATATATTTATTTTATATAAATAATTTTTATAAAAAATTTTAGGTTTTTTTATTTTCATTCTATATTTTTAGAACAAATAGGTACCAATCATAATGGAACAGAAGCAGATGATGCTATGGATATAGAAGCAGGTCAGTTTGAGGATGCAGAAGAAGATCTATAAAGTATGGAGATAATATAATGCAAGCACGCATTTAGTATTAATTTATAATTACCAGTATCATATACCATGGTAGATATGTGATATTATGGCAGACTGTATAAGAGAGCAGTATCAAACATAAAAACAGCTAACATTTATTTATATTCATTTTGTACACGGTAATAATTTCTTAGATAAAAATAAATAATTGTATATCAAATTTAACTCCTTATTTGTATGTATATTTGTATTTGTTTTTTAGAAAATTATTAATTTTTTACATTTATTTATACAATAAAAATGAAACTTAATATAACAAAATTCTTTGAAAATATCTGCATACGCGCGTGCGAAAGAAAAATATATTAATATTTATGAAAACTTATCCATTTTAAAGTAACACAATTTCGTGATTAATTTTAAATGTATATATATTGTATCTTTTTTATTGTTAATAAATGTTTAAGTTATTAAAAAAAATGTCAAAGTATAATTTAGCAATAAAAAACTTTTATTATTATGTCAATATGTAAATTTTAATTGCAAAATTTGCATTTTGACAAACAATATTGGTGTAAAAATTTAATCAAATTAATTTTTTTTAAATTTAAAAATTATTTAAATGATATAAATGATATATTTTTTTATACTTATGCCAAAATTAGTTTCTTTAATATATCAATTGTGTATCAAAATTGTTTTTTTTAGAATAACTATTTTTCATTTAAACATATAGAAGTACATATTGACACGTATGACGCATTTGTGTATTTTTAATATAATTATAAAATGTATTTTTATACCAAAAATCATATAGTATGGTTGAAAATTCATTTAAATAATGTATATGTAGATATGTATTCTAAATTAAAAATAAAAATTATTAATTTATTATAAATTCTACACAAAAATATCGACTTCAAATAGTCCGTAACTTAGATCACTTGTGATTTTCTAATAGGAAAGTATTAATTTGTTCCAAAAACATTAAAATATTAAATCTACCGTATTTTTTTAGGACCAAAAATAAGATCGGCATCTGGTGCACCTTTGGGATGATTATATTTTTGTCGCCGTTCTCTATTCAAGTTTACCGTTACTGGCTTGGTACTCTGATTAATTGTTTCTTGATAATCTTCTTCCTCTTGTCTTTCTGTAATATTTAATGTCAATCTTTTAACTCGTTCTTTTTCTTCTTTCTGTTCTTGTTCTCTATTTCGAAGATTCATTGCTAATTCTGATGATACTGGAACTGCTAAATTTTTGTATTGTTGCTTGTTACCTTTTCTCAACATAAGTACAAAATCAACTGTACTATTATCAGAAGGTCTTTCTTGCAATTGTTCATATGTTTTCTTAGTACTTTTTACATGTAAAGGAACTGAAATATCTACTTGTTGTGGTTTTACTGAATCTCGCATTCTATCTTGTATATTATCTGAAACCATCTTATCAAGAGCAGACAAAAAATCATCATCTTCAGGACAACTTACTCTTCTAGGACCAGCTGGTAATGCTGCATTTAATTCTGTGACATCCATAATAACACCATCAGTACCACCTTCTGAAAGACTTTGATCTCCTTGGGTATTTTCTTGAGTACCCATAGTGTAATCTCTTTCTGCATCAGCAGTCCAATCTTCTTCTGATTGTGCTTCAGAACAATCTTCAGATTCTTCAAAATGTAAATCAGCCACACCTTTTGCATCTCCACTACCATTTCCAGATGTTACAGCTATATCTTCATCTCCTTCAGCAATTACACTCATATCAGATTCTACATCAGTACGTTCAGTACCATCTTCAGCAATAGGATTTCCAAGAGTGGGATATAATGTATTTCGTAATTCTTCTACAGCACATTGTGCTTCTTTGTAACTTTGAAACAATTGCATTTTGGGTCTTAACATTGTTAATGTATCACGATACATATAATCTATACCCACTGGAAATGGATTTTCTGAAGTCCAAATAGGATCTGTATATTTAAACCAATAGTAATTTTGAAAGAATATTAAGAAATAATCAAGTTTTTTCTTGCTAGAACCACCACTAAAATACTGTCCACAAGTTTCTAATAATGTACAAACTAATCGAATTCTAAAAAGATGATCAGGTGGATCTAAAATACTTGGTATGGAATGATCCATGCTAACTCCAAATGTAATCAAAAGATATAACGTCCGAAAAATATCTCCACTTTCTACCATACGATAATTATACAATTCTCCGAGATATTTAACCATAGCAATGCGGCGTTGATTAAATTTTGGTAAATTTATTTCCATGCATAGTCTTATATCTTCTAATACACCATCTACTACATGAGGACCTATAGTTTCATAATGCGCAACAAGTCCAGCTAATAAACTTCCTACACATCGAATATTTAAATATTTAACATTATATGCGGCAGTGAGACATTTAATAGCATAAGATGATACACTTTCATCTTCCCAGTCTAATTTGCGCATCCATTTAAGAACTTTATCAGTATTTGTTTTTGAAAGATCTTGATATAATAATTTTCTTATGAATTCGTGAATAGGAGGTCTATCTTTTTTAGATACACCTCCTGTAGATTCTGGTGGATTTACATAATAATATGCATTCTCAATTATTGTTACATAACGTGAATCTAATGCAGTAACTGCCTTTTTACGCATCATTTGTTCTAAATATACTTTTGTTCTTTGATGTGAATCTGGTGAACAAAATAAGTATCTTCCACATGTTTCTAATAAATTACAAGCCATTTCAATATGATGATGCGTAAAATCATGTAACAAAACTTTTAAGCAATATAAAGCTTCTATTTTGGAATAAAGTTTAAATTTAACAAGCTCACCAATGTATCTAACAACTTTTACTTTTGATTCAATATTAATTTGATCCTTTTTGCGTACATGATATTTAAAATCATGTTTTAACATTGAACATAAATCATTTCCTACATCAGACATAACAGGATAAAGAATAGCCGCTAATCGTGAATAAAATGGTAATAGATCTAAACGAATTCTAGAAACACCAAACAATGCTTTCACTAACTTTTTTTTGTTATGTTTTGTGTTGAGATTCATTAAGAAATGTACTGCTGCATTATCAATTAATTCACGATTTACACAATTTGGTAAATGTGTTATAAATGCATCTAAAAGTATTTTATTACTTATATTTGAAACCTGTGGTTCTTCCACTTCTGCTTCAGGTTCATCTACTTTTTCAGTTTCTTCTAGTTCATCAAATGTTATTTCCTCATCTAAAGCTTCTTCACTTATTGGAACATCTTGTTTAGGTACTTCTTTCAAATATGATCCTGGAAGAAAAACTGTTAAATCTGGTAAAACTTCATAAAATCGTCTGGTTTCTTCATCTCCCCACATATCTTCTAGAATGCTATTTTCTTCTCCTTCACTAATCATTTTCAATGATTCTTCTGCTTCTGCTTTCATTTCATTATCTATAGGAAGTTCTGGCATGGGTTCATCTAAAGTATCAGAAAAGCTTTGTACATTATTAAGTAAACGATCATAAGATACTTGAAGACTTTCAAGTTTTTCTTTTCTTTCAGAGCTTAGTTCACCTCTAGTTTGTAAGATTTTTCTATTTTGTTTTTCAAATGCTTGAAGATCTTTATGTTCTTTTAATAAATGCTTACATAATGAATTATAATAATCTCGTAATAATAATCTAACATTTTGTTGTTTATCAGGAGAAAGTAATTTGCTTTTAGGTATGGTTGTATTTAACTTTTCAGATATTTCCCTTACTTTTTTGGGTACAAGACCTGCATAATCTTCTCCACAATGTTTACAAAAACTTAATATGATGCTTGCATTGTTATGTTCTTCTTTATCCATATTAATTAAAACAGTTAATGCAGAGCCAAGCAAAGGTAATCCTTGCTTATGGGTAAAAATTCCTGCATTAACTAGTTCAGCATAAAATCGAAGATCTACTCTAAGTTTGCTTGGATTTGTAATTTTATCTACAACCTTTAGAGATAAAATTCTTTGCCAATTTTCAAAAAAATGAGTTGAAAATTCTGCATATGTCTGATGTAAGAAACTGCATACTTTAATAGCAGGTGCAACATCTGTCATTTTTAATTTAGCATCCACCAAAGCAGTAGCAACTTCACTTACATATTTTGTCAAATTTAAATGTGTCATATCTTTTAAAACTGTATCTAACTGTGTACTACTAAAATTTTTTAATTTCTTGACAAATGTGGTATTTCTTTTCAATGTTGAATCTAATTTGCTAAAATATGTTTCAGGTGGTCTATTAGGATTTAAATTGGCTGCTCGAATTTCTTCTTTTGCATTCAGTCGTTGTTCTGTTTCTTTTATATAATCAGTCAAATATTGTTTATCTTCTTCAGATACAGCATCTTGTTCCGAAATTACTTCTGCTGTTTCTGGTGCTGCTTCTTCAACTTCTGACATTGTTTAAATCTATTACATAAAAAACATGTATGCTTGAAAAATGTCATTTAGAAAAGATACTTATAAATGTCATATAAATGTATTCATTAATATTAATTATATCAAAAAATTAATGTAAAAAATAATTTACATGAAAAAATTCATAATCTAAGAATATTTTTTGAAAAGAGTAAATATAAATATTTGATAAAATATAATTTATATGTTTCTAAATTCAAAAATTATTAAAAATTACAGAAATAAAATAAAACATAATTACAGTTAATAATTTCTTTATTTTAAAAAATATTACATTTATTCATACCGTATTATATATTTTTTTACACATAATATAATTTCTTTTTATTTATTTCAATATATTATAACTAATGTACGATATGTTTACGTTTATGACACGTAATATAAAATATAATAAAAACTAAAAAATTATATGAAAGAGATTGAAAATAAAAATTATTGTATTTATGTTATTTTACATAATTGTAATATAAATGTTTTGAAATTATTTACTTACAATTTTTAAATGCAGGAAGGTTATTTTATGGCAGACGACAACTGATTTCTTACCATAGATGAGATACGGAATAGATTTAACATCCCGTATATCATATTATTGTCATTTTTGATGTTACCGATACAACGTAGAATATAATTGCAACACAGATAAGATATAGAGATACATATTCAACGGGATTTTGTGTTTGTAGTCTATGTTCTGAAATACCGATAGCACAAAAAAAATCAGGATGTTTGATATGCCCTCTACGATTAGTATACCAAAGTGAATGAATTATATTCAATCAATCATAAAAGTTGATAAGCTGACAGAATTTAAAAACAATTTTTTTGATATATTTTTTCATAAATATTCCTAAATATATATTATATACATTGAATCGTAGATTTTTTTTACTAAATAATATAGATTCATGAATTGAATTATTATGAATATTATATTACCATATAAATATTTAAAAATAAACATATAAAATGTATATACTTATAAAAATTGTATCGAATAGATTTTAT